CAGGTAAAAATTCAAGATTTCTTACTGGGATATTCAAGGTAACAAATAGACTGTTCCCATTTAGATGAGTGTTGAAACACAATCTAGCTGACATCGAAATTTCCCGCCATATATTCGTTTTTTTTTTTTGTTTTTGTTTTTTTTTGTTTTTGGTTTTTTTTTTCTGTTGGTAAAAAAAATTCTTTTATCGAATGTAAAAACAATAACCCTTGTTTTTTTCGTTCATTTCGCCTTCACATGTCTCTCTTTCTCTTTCTCTCTCTTTCTTTCTCTCTTTTTTCTCTTTGCATTTAAACAATTCTTCAATTCTTTCTTTCTTTCTCCATTTAAGCAATCATTTAATCCTTTCTTTCTTTCTTTCTTTTTTTCTTTCTTTCTTTCTTTCTTTTATCTTTATTGCTTCTTTTTCGTTTTCCTTTCTGTTTCAATATTCTGCGGAAATTATAATTTATTTCCTTTTCATCACTTGTCTTTCATTCTTTCTTTCTTTCTTTCTTTCTTTTACATTTATAGCAATCCTTCATTTCTTTCTTTCTTTCTTCTTTCTTTATTTCTTTCTTTCTTTCTTTCTACATTTATAGCAATCCTTCATTTCTTTCTTTCTTTCTTCTTTCTTTCTTTCTTTCTTTCTACATTTATAGCAATCCTTCATTTCTTTCTTTCTTTCTTCTTTATTTCTTTCTTTCTTTCTTCTTTATTTCTTTCTTTCTTTCTTTCTTTCTTTCTACATTTATAGCAATCCTTCATTTCTTTTTTCTTTCTTTCTTTCTTTCTTTCTTTCTACATTCATAGCAATCCTTCATTTCTTTCTTTCTTTCTTTCTTTCTTTCTACATTTATAGCAATCCTTCATTTCTTTTTTTCTTTCTTTCTTTTCTTCAGTTGTAATTCATTCACTTGTGCATAAATCCAGTTCTCGTGAGTAAATCCCTTGAACAGAAAATTGGCGGGTCGACCTAAACATCGTCAATTATTTTCGTTAACCTAAAAATTCAAGCAATTTGGGAATGGCTGACGCCAAATAAAATATTCGTTAGTTACAAACGAGAAAAGATAAAGGCATAAACATGGAAGAATTAATAACGAAAATATCAACTATGGCTCCAGTGGACGAAGCCCATCAAATCACTCTGTAACAATATTGTAGCAGTCAGTCGAGGTTCTTACAGTGGGCAAGATTTTCATATCAAATATATATCACGATGATTAGACAAGAAGAGTCACTTGAAAATATTTAAAACGCTTACTACAGTTTTAGAATATAATTAACTTAAACATCAGATTAATTGTTTAAATAATATTTGAATGCAAAAAATGAAAGTACGAAGGGCAGTTGTATTTTGTCTGTCATGGGAGTATGATTTCTTGTCTATTGACAATCTGTTCGTACTTTTCGATTAAATTTCTCTGTAGAATATTTAGTCCTGCATTTAAATTATACATACATTTAATCTGTTCTATAAATAATATTTGTACCGATTCCTGACAACAGAGACTCAATTACTGATTTTCAAAGCGTTTATATACGAAAATGCAAATAAATTTTTATGACATTATCAAATATGATATACGACTGTATATTAATTCTTTATCAGATAAATAGCAATATCTTTCTTCAAGATTTTCAATGCATATATATAAGAATATATATATATTGTCATCCATAGGCACTGTTTCGCGGTATCACAACTCAACAGTGTGGCTAGACATCCGATTGCATCTAGTTAGAATCGAAACCCGATCGAATTCGCGTCAGTCGGGTATTCTACCACGAAGCCGTATGGCGTACGGCAAAAACGAGGATGAATTTAAGTGTATTTATTTTAACATAAACCTACAGTGACTGAGAGAACTCGATTCTATTTAGCATTATTATCTATCTTGCATTATTAGCTGTAATAGTTATTGTTTACAAATCCACACTTGCTATATATATATATATATATATATATATATATATATATATATATATATATTATTATAGCTTTCGCAGTTAAATTTCTGTTTCCGACACGAAAACAGTCTATACAGGAGTTGAAGAAGACTTACAATTTTTTTTTTTTTTGTCGGTCGAAATAAGCTTATTCCACATATGAGGTGATTTGGGATTTTATTGTGCATTAATTATTGATCTGTAACAATAAATATTTTCTGTGGTTCAGTTTTAATACTTTATATTACTAGGATCAACTTGGATTATATAACAACGGGTTTATTACTTTCTACTACTACACACACACACACACACGCGCACACACACATATATATATATGAAGTATGTATGCATGAATATATACATATATATATATATATATA